TTCGCTCCACAGCCGGATGTAGAGGAAATCTTAGGCCTGCCTTAATGGCCGCCTCATAGCAGCCAAAACATGTGTCCCCGAAGCTGGACTTCTCGGGCCAGACTACATTGTCCTCAGCATCCAGCGTGCATAGGACATAATCATGCCCCATGACATGGTCAGCTCTAAAGCTCCCAATTTTGTCCGCTATCATCTTCCGCCTGCCTGCGGGAACATGATGATAGTAGGTGACATATTGCTCTCGGTTGTTAATAGACGGCTCCGCCCAGTTTGCTCCCAATTCAACTGATAGGGACTCTCGCGCAGTCTTTAGCCGAGAATGGCTCTTTTCAGATTCATCTGAGAACTTGCTAGAAGTACTTGGCTTAAAGTCGCTGTCTGAGCTCTCGGACCTGGTGTCCGCCTGATGGGCTAGATCAACCAAGCCCGGCATGTCATTTTGAACCTCCTCCCCTGATTTTGCTAAAATGGAATCACTGGGAGTGCTTGGGGCACCAGGCGGCACGTCAGATAATTCACTAACAGGCGCATGGAAGGAAGAGTCGTTTGAATTTGTCACCCTTGCAGTTCTCTTAGTTCTGGCCATGGTGTCTTGTACAGACACATAGACAGTCGGACTTGCGGCAGTTCGCAAAGGGTGATCCAGCAAGGGGCAGTCGACACTCCTAGTTCTAGACTCAGCCGTCCCCGGTGACCGGCTAATCACTAACCTAGGTCGTGCCGTGTGCTTTTTGGAAACCATTTTCGAAAAAAGAAAACAAACAAAGGGAAAATGCAAAAGAAAGCAGGCGGTTACCTTAAAGAAAAGAAGATTGGAAGTTCTTGAAAATCGGGCGGCTGTTTGAGCAGACGATCCAAAAGCAAGCGACAGTCGTCCAAAATGTCAGAGCAAAGGTAAAAAATTCGGTCCGAAAAAACTTCTAGAATGTCCAAATGATTTGGATATCCCCTATTTATAGGGGGAGAATTTCAAGGGTCAATAAAAAAAAATCGGTAAAAAACCGTTAGCCAATTAGAGTGTGACACCTGTCACAGGCGCCACATGGCAAGCCACGTCACCCCTGTGTGGGGCAAATGATTAGGGGAATTTTCCCGCCGCATGGACCAATTAAATCATGCCACGTATCATCCACGTGGACCAACCAGAGCCTGCCACGTGTCACCTCGTGAAAGGTCCAAGGTGGACCAATCAGGCCACGACACGTGGCAGGCAGATTGCCAACTAGGAAAGTGGCCTTTATGGCCCAACTACCTAGGAAAGCCCAGCCAGTCTTAGGTTTCTGAAAACCTAGTATTGGGCACACATTTCAAGATCCTATAAAAGGGAGATGCTCCCTCTGAGGAAGGTCATTCAGAAATTCCCAAACACACGTGTACATTGATTGCTGTGCATTAACCCCAGCATTAATTGCACTCTTTGAGAGCTATGGCTCGGATATTGAGACTATCTCAGACAGTCGAATGATCACTCCCCCTCCAAGAGGAGCCTGATCCCCTTTACTTTCCGCATCTTTACACCCGAACACGTTCTAACTTGATCGTCGGAGGAGGAACTCCCACCCACGGGAGTCTCCGTTGTTTTGCAAGTACAAGCGTCCGGAGGCCAGTCTTGGTGTTGTAACTCTCCCGCAGGACATCCAAAAAACCCCGAAACAGATATTATAGGAATTTTATTGTACCACAATTTGTATGATCAACATACAACAAAACAAATTGATAATTTTGTACTTGATAATTATAATTAACCCACAAAAATCGTGTAAGTGTCGTAAAGAAACACTCACCAAACCAGGCTCTGATGCCAATTTAATGCGTATTTTTAACGGTTTATATTTAATGGAAGGATTTGAGTGATTTTAATGGTTGAAATTTGAAGGATAATCTTAGAAGGCAACGACTTCTAAGTTTGATCTTAGGAGCAACAATCCCAAAACTCTTGTTAACAACTAGTTTGAACCTTAACAAAGTTCTCTTCAAGCAAAAGGTTAATAATCTCAACTTTTAATTCATAAAACGTCCTACTAAAATAATTGACATACAACTAGTATATATAGGAAAAATAAATTTACCCTACTTGCTCCGTAAGTAAACTAAATAAAAAGCTCTAATAATTAATTAATAAACCAAGATAGACCACTAACTATTTAGCACAAATTTGGAAGCCCAAGGCCCCATAACCATTACTAAGATAATAACTAAAAACATTATTAAAAACTTACTTGTAAAACTCCTACTTTAAGAGTAAGGTAAAACCAAGAGAGTATCTAACTAAAGCAATAAAGATAGTTATAAGAAAGGGGACTCGACTCACATCATAATCGTGTTTGTAATTTTGGGAAAGTTATGGAGTATTTTAGGGATTACAAGAGAAAAGAGGAGGTATTTTTGTTAAATTATATTTCCACAATTTGTATTTTATGTATAAATTTTTTGATATATGCTTAATCAACTATTACAAACTAAAAATTGTTCAACTGAAAACATAAATGAATTTAACTAGCTCTTACATACCAAACTGTAATAAAAAATAAAAATCTTCATTTTCGGAGGAACTTGATTGCACAATATGAATTCTTCTTGCCTTGTGTTGTTCTTCCAAAAGTTAAACAAATTACCTTTGTTACGTGATGTACTAGAGACTAGAGCTCCAATTCAAGCGGGGCCGTGCCGAGGTGAAGGCGGGCTGCGCCTTCAAATTACACACCCTAATCCAAGGCACGACACGACCCACGTGCCTGGTGGGCCGAGCTGTGTCGGGCCACGAGCCAGCCCATAATTTTTATTATTAATTAATTAATTTTATTATTTATATTATTTTATTTTTACTATTTATAGTTTTTTATATTATTATGGTTTTTTATTATTAATTTATTAAATTTCTTTTTATTATTATTATTATTATTATTATTATTATTATTATTATTATTATGAGACGTGTTGGCGGGCTAAAAGTTCGTGCCGCCCGCGGGCTCGTGCCGAATTTTTATTTTTTTTGTTTACGGCACGACCCACGGCCCACCCCCTCGTTCCTCGTGCTGTGTCGGGCTGCTAGCGGGCTCGTGCCATGCCAAGCCGCTACTGTGCCACCCGCGGCCCGGCCCAACCCATGCCTAGCTCTAATAGGGACCCGAGAGCCTTATCAGTTGATAGACAAAGAAATTCACTCTTAACAAAGACCAAGACAACCAAAACCAACAACCATAATAAATTTCTCAAATTTAAGGAACAACGAAGACAAGTCTATCAAAAAATCATTGAAAAAGACTACCCAAACAGACGGGAAACTAAATAAGCAAATAAGACTTGCCAAAGATTTATACAACCAACATGTGGGTCCTCTACAACTTGAGCCACACATGTAATCTGAATCGCTTAATCGAAAGCAACTAGCTAGCCGAACCCCAAAAATAGAAAAGAACGAATGCCTATGTTGCATTCCAAGTACGTACATCCACGCCAAACAAAAACACAATGTAGAGAATTTGTGGCCAATCACAAGAGGTCTACGAAATCTTGATTCTACCTTTACCAGATTTTTGTCGTTATCTCCTTAATTTTTTTTCGCAGCGAAATCTTGACGGTGGCGGTAGAGAAAGCCCAAGAAAACTATATCTTCGTCGATGTCTCTGACAAACTGCAACCATAAATCCATCCTTTTGGTGGTGAGTAAAACAAAACAAAACCTTCTATGCGATTTCTTTGCAAATAGCAGGAGACTAACAAACGAACAACCATTTTACTTGCCGAAGGCTCACCGAAAATCGAGCTTCACAGCGCTTGTAAACCTGCAAGCTCACATAGGATTTGTCTCTCACGGGCTTTAGTTAGCGAGGAGGAAGAAAGAAGGGAAAGGATTTTTTTTAAGAGAGAGAAATTCAAATTAATACAAATCGTTCCTTTGAGGATGACAATAAATTGATATAGTCATTATTAAAGAAGGTTTGAGAACACAGTGATATATAATAAATCAAATTCTGATAAGAAACAAGTCTAAAATGAAAACAAGGAACCATTTGGCATTAGAACCACATATTTCACAATCCACATGTTTTCCACTATCATCAATGACATTTTCTTGATCTTGTAACTTTCATACAATGGTATAAATTTTCAATTTTAAAGTAAGTGAAAATCTAGTTAAACTAAATAATTTTAGTCAAAAGTTAGTCAATAGTGTTTTTAAATTAGTGAAATATGGAGTAGTAAATGAAATTTCTTTTTTAAATAATTTTCCGTTTAAAGTTAAATTAAGTTTTTGTTAGATTAATACTCATTATTATAAAAATTATACAAGTATATATTAATACTCATTATTTAATGATCAACAAATAATTCACCCATCCCATAATATAGTGCCTATTTAATTTTTTGTGGTTGAACATCAACCACAAATTCTCATTATTCTATACAAAATTACTAAAAACGTGTTCATGTGAGATATCATTGGATATTTTTCGTGTATAGTTTTTTTAATATCAACTTTATAATATTTGTTGATGCGTGATCAAAGGTAATGGTGGCGATCTGGTCAAAGACATATTTTGAAGACTGTGTAAAATGACATATACACTATATTATGGACGGAAGTACATTGAGAATAGTGCAAAATACAAGAGTGAAAGAACAAATATTAAGTGGTTATGTTCAATTAACTGATATGATTTCTAGATTTGACCAAACTTTAATCTTATTTATGCACTAATCTATAGGATAAAAAAATAAAAAAAATCAAATCAGATGTTATTATATTTGTATTAATATGCACTTACCACATATGAAATTTTCTTGATTCTAAAGTTACAAAAAACAAATATATTCGATGATAGAAAAAACGCAAATAAAAATTCTAATCTGATTAAGATACAAAGTACTTATCAACTTGATATTATGCACCACTAGAACTAAAACAACCATACAAGTGTACAAGTAATACAACTCTTCAAAACTACAAAGTACAAACAAAGTGGACTTCAAAATTGTCGAGGTGAGTATAAATTCCGTTTGATACAAAGTGAACCAAAAATTAGGGTTTTTCAAATCGACCCTTTTTAGAGAGAGAAAACGAAAGAAGATAAAGAGGATTCCCAATAATCCCCAATATATTTTGATTAAAGTTTCTCTCTTTTATATATACTTTTGATTCTTCTCACACCCAATTTTCTCTTTCTTCAAATTCCTTTCTCCTTTCAATTTACGCAGTTTTTGAGCAAACTACAACAGCAGCATCAACCATGGGAAGAGGAAAATTCAAGGGCAAGCCTACTGGCCGCCGCCAGTTTTCAACTCCCGAAGATATTTGTAAGTTTTTCATTCAATTTTTATGATAAAAATTGAGTCTTTTTTGAATCTAGGGTTTGAGAATTTAGGGTTCATTCAAATATCTATTTGGGGGGTTTTTTTTAATTGAATTGAAGAAATTAGTTGCTGTCTATGTTGATTGTTTGTGATGTTTCTATTTTGGTTGTTCGTATCCTACAATTTGTTTCTTTTTCGTTTAATTGGGAAATTTGGGAGTTGAAGATTGAAGTGTATTGCTTTGTGATTTTGTCCTTTATGTGAATTAAAGGATGGAGTCTTCGAATTTTGACGGTTGATGTTAGTTTTGTTTATACAATTGAGAAATTATGTTATTGAAATTCTTGTAAAGTTTTTCGTTGTAATGAGTAAAACCAAGGAAGTTAATGCGATTTCGAACTAGGTGCATATGGAATTGTGGGGTCTAAGTTGTGTACATCGATCTTACTCACAAACCCTGCTGTACATGGAAGCCATGGGCATTGGGAATTTGGGATGCCGGGATGCCAGTAGTTATATCGGTTCGTTTGTTTATAGAATTGACAATATGTTTTGGAGCTTTATACTTTTGGCCCTGTTTGATGAATGGCATGAGTGGGACTTGGGCCGTTATAAGTGATGTATGCTTTCTACCTCTTTATATATCATAGGTTAGAAGATTCATTCTTCCAATACTTCTGATAGTTTGAAGTGTTTACAGCAACTTTCGCTGGAATTTCTGGTGAAATAACCATGAGCAAGCTAATTCTGATAAGTGGGTAGTGTGTAATAACCATCTTATGTCCATTAGTCTGTTGTGTTTTTTTGCGAGCCATTATGTGCAGTGCTCCATATTTGAATCATATGCTTTTTTAAGAACTTGGTTGTTCCATGGCACATTGGTCCATGAATTGAATCTCTTGGAAGTAAATTCTTACATAATTTTTGCTTTGTTTGTGATGACTGCAGTAGGTGGAACTTCTCGTCCACGCACCTTTAGACAGGTGACAGTCTAACTTGTCTTATAATATTATACTCTGTAATATGCAAGTATATGCAAATTATCATGATCCAATGCATCTCTGATTTGATTCAAATTCATTGGCCTATTTGATCAGAAAAAAGAAGAGGAAGAAGAGGTAGAAGAGGAAGAAGAAGAATCAGAGGAAGAATCTGATGAGGATACTGAAGTAAGCCTTTTTATTTTTATAAATTTTGTTTTCTGGTTCTATTCGGCTGTTTGTATAAAGTTCCCCATAGATTTTGTGTATTTATGCTTCTAGATTGTGTCATGTTCCCTACTAGATGTTGTATTATTCTGATCATTCTGTTTTTTTGTTTCAGCGAAAGATGAAAGGGACACAGGGGATCATTGAGATAGACAACCCCAACATGGTGAAGAAACAGAACCTAAAGGCAAAAGATATTGATGTGAGTACAACTTTTTTCTGCTTCTTGTTTTATTTGAATGGTGAATACAAGGAATTTACTTTTACTTCTGCTTTTTCACAGCTTGACAAAACAACTGAACTTACAAGACGTGAGAGGTTTGTTGATGCTTTTGTTATGCTTTTATTTTTTTTGAGGCTGTTTATTAAGTGTTATATTTGCTCTTCATTTGATGAAAAAACATTTTGGAAATATTCCATTGTATGTCTTGTGCAATGGCCTATCCAAGAAAGGTCTGCTGTTTGCAACATTGTCTTGGTGAGATAACTGGATTGATAATGTTACATAGTTTTATGAACATGTTAAACATCTTTCCCAGGACTTTGCCATGGTTGGGATCTTGTGTATTGGTCAGCTGATTTGGATTGTTTAGAAGTAGGCATGGCTACTACTTATGTGTTTCACATACAAGAATGAGACTAAGTTGCTTGAGTATTTTGCCTGATTATATAAATTGCCACATCTTGTACGAAGTTTGGCATGTTTATAACTTGTTATGGCAACCAGCCTAGATATGTCAGGGGAATGAAAAACGGCTTTTCTAAAAATGCAAAAATGCTGTGATTAGTAGGTTGTATCTGATGGATGCTTTTAAGTAGTTTGAGTGAAGATAGCGACACTATTCAGAATATGACCATGGTATATATTATCTATTTTTTAGGGAGGAGTTGGAAAAACAGAGGGCTCATGAAAGATACATGAAGCTGCAAGAACAAGGGAAAACGGAACAAGCAAAGAAAGATTTAGGTAAGTTTTGGGATTATATTCTCACTTTTGCTGCTATCAAATATTTGTATTGATTGTATGATCTGTTTGCACTTATCATAGATGCAGGAAACTTATACGTTGTAATTTTTTTGATTTCATGATGACATCCTTTGCCCTTTTGACTGTCCTACTTTAACTTCTCTCTCTCTCTCTCTTTATTTGTGTGTGTGTGTGTGTGTGAGATAGAGAGAGAGAGACACTCATTACCACTTCTAGTAGACAAATGAAATTTTATATTTGGTAACTGAGGGAATAATAACTTTTTTAGTAGAACAGAGAAATTGCTGTGCTCAAAAAATCATTATAGGTGAGGAAGTTAAGGTAATTGGGAGGTGTGTACTCGTGGATGATGCGGTGAATAGTGAATACTTGATCTTCATAATTGACAAGTTAACGTGCTTAAGTTAATACTCGTAAAATACTGAAATACTTCCTCCATTCTTTTTTACTTGACCCGCTTTGACTTTTACACTATTCACTACCTTTCCTTTGACCGTCTTTTGTGAATAATATATAAGGAAAAACATATTCATGCGGGATCTTCGTCTCAATAAGTATTATCATAATATATAACTTTTATAATTTTTACTTATGGAGAATTAAAGTTATTGATCATTAAAGTTTTACATTGGCAAGCGTGATAAAAGAAACAGAAACAGGTCAAGTAAAAATGAACAGAGGAAGTATCATTTAGTCTGGGAGGTGTTTTTCATGGATGCTGATGTGAATGTTTGATTGTCATAATTTACTGATTACAATGATAAAGTAAGAATGATTTAAGCATGGTGTAGGATTTTGAAGAGAATTGCAGCTTTGTATCCTTGTTAATTCAGGATTTGTGGCTTAGGTCATCTGAAGCCTTGTTAATACAGGGTTTTTGGTTCAATGGGATGCTCTAATTAACCCTGTGGGTACTAAACCCCGGTCATATATGTATATATTCTCTTATTTTTATCATCTCTGGCACCTTTAACACAGTATGCTTAACCAAGTTAAAGCATCATCATCCACTAACCCTTTTTGTTACGCTCATATGCAGAGAGGTTGAAACTTATTCGTGAACAAAGGGCAGAGGCTGCTAGGAAGAGAGAGGAAGAGAAAGCTGGTAAGGTCTTTAATGGTTTTGAAAGACTAAACGTAGTCTTTATTCTTTAATTTTGTTATCTTTTGTGTTTCTGCAAGTGTTTGGGAATCTCTAACTGTACATATTTGTTACAGCCAAGGAACAAAAGAAAGTCGAAGCCCGCAAATCCTGAAGGCAGAGGAAAAATCTTGAACAAATCTTCGCTTTTTAATAGCTATAATTTGTTTGTTTTAAAGTTATGCATAAATATGCCCCAAATTGTGCTGGTTGTGATAATTTACCCCGTTTTTAATTTAGCTTGATGGTTGACCATGTAATTCTGCTTATAGCAAATGAAAAGTTATACTCTTATAAACATTGAGCAACCATTTTGTGCACTGTAAGTTATATTTGTTCTAATTCGAGGTGCAATTCATTCTACTCCCGAGTATATAGATTTGGTTGTGTTATTACGACTTCATGAGGACTAAGTGGCATACTTGAGCATTAGATTATGTCTATTAGGTATGAAGAGACAGTTGAGTTTGGATGATTTTGTTTTTATCAACCTTTGAAGAGTGTCAGGTTGATTGGGAATTAGGTATGAATTCATACCTTGAGAGGTGGTGGGTTACATCTCACTTCTAGGGTTCAATTTAGGGGATTATAATCTGAATTATGGAGGGTGTCTTGTGAAAATGATTCGATATGATTTGTAACCCGGTTAAGCAGGTTAAACTTTTTTTTTTTTAATAACACTCTCCTCCCCTAGCCCAGCTCTACAACCATTGGTACACACCACCTGGCCAATTGCGTTCACCAATCTCTTACTCACCCTCACTCTCTCCCTTGCTGCCTATCTCCTCCTTAATGCCACCGTCGACCACCGTAGACCTTCCCGTTCTCCTTTGTTTCGATGGTTCAAACAAATAGCCCTCATTTCTGTAATTGTCATCAATAACCCATCCCATTCAACCACCTGCATCAGTCTCCGGCGTGCTGCTATTCCTTTCACCTAACATTGACCAAGCCTCCTCCCTAACTCATTATTGCACTCTTTAATTTCTCTTGTTTTCTCGTATCCAGTTGCCTCTAGTTCTCTTTCCTCTTTATTCAGAACTAATGAAGTAGCATCAATCAACGTCATCAACCACCAAGACACCCCTGTGCGCATGCAACGTAGCATCGCCACACTTTGTTCTGCCGCCTGTCGACCTAAACCAGCAGGCCTGCTACCCTTGCACTAACAAAAAGTTTTTTTTTTTTTTTTTTATTTTTTTTTTATATATATATATTGTGGAAAATTAAGAGCAAACCCCAGTTTATAACCTAGATAAACAAATTATGTTTATCTAATGACATTTTCGTAAATAAGTTGCATTGAAAAATGTGTTTTTTTATTAAAAAAATATGTATTTTTTTATTGTTTGTGGGTCACTATGACACGTTGGACATATTTTCAAAGTTAACACCGTTAACTTTTCGTTTGCTACTATTCATCATCTTCTTACTCCCACCTTCTTCTTCATGTTCATCTTCTTCCTCTTGTTCATATTTTTTCTTCCCACCCACCTTAATCATCTCCCTCCAATCTATGCCCACTTTCATCTTCTCTTTCAAGTCCGTTCGACTCTATTTCCGCCGGCTTCGTCAGCAAAATTTAAGGAAAATCCTAATAACAAAAGGAGAAATTAATGGCATGGTTAACCCTAAAGGGTAGCTGAGTTTTCTTTCCTCCCCTTCGTTAAATTCGACTTCGCACCACCATTTCCGGCGACTTCGCCGCCGAAATTAAACGAAAGCCCAAATAACAAAGTGAGAATTACGAGCATGGTTAACCCTAAAGGTAGATAAGCTTTTCTCCCTCCATTGATTTTTGACTTGTTCGACGTCGTATAGTGAAAAGGTGTACTTCCACCATTAAAATTGAAGGTTGAAGGAGGAGAGAGAAAACAACAAAAGGTTGAAGGAGGAGAGAGAAAATTAGAAAATACCAAAAGATTGAGAGAGGAGAGAGAAAACAACAGTCAACCCAAGTTGGATATAATTTACATTTACACTCCTTGATAAACAAACAATTCTTACACGAATTGTTTATCAAGGTTATAAACTTGTATTTTCTCGAAAATTAAGGTTGATTTTTTTAATTGATAAAAATTATTAGCTAATCACAACATGCCATGTGGCTCTAATAACCTTCTAGAATGGTTAACACAGGTCACGGATCATATCTTGAAGACACCCTCCATAGTTCGGATCATTCCATAATAACTTATAGTTGGGATTAACATATAAAGACCACCAATAGTTGAGATTATTCATGTGAATTTTCCCTATTCCTAAATTATACGGAGTAGTGGAGTACCAAACATGGGATGATGCATATTATAATCCTATTTTACTCGTCAATTTCCTATTCTTATACCGTACTCTTATTTTCCTTATCTCTATTTATTGTGCCAAATGCTAGGATGTCAATGGGGTGGGGTGGGGTGGATGTTGGCCTTTTCATCTCCATCCCCGCCTAACATTCTCATCTCCATCTCTACCTAACATTCTCATCTCCAATTGGTCAGGAACATATCAGCGATACAATTGAGCACCCCAGTTACACTAGAATTCATTTTTAAAGACAATGATTTATCACGCCACACCATCTTCTATTGATAAAACAAATACATTATACATTCTATTATTTTTAGCCTTTGAAACACTTAATTTACAACAACCCGCCCCAGACATTTACTAGAGTACTAACTAATTTCAATGTCAGTGGTTGATTTGCTCTAAACTAAAAAAAAAAACTCCTAGTACTAACTATGGTTTTTTTTTTTTTTTTTTTTTTTTTTTTTTTTTTTTTTTTTTTTTTTTTTTTTTTTTTTTTTTGTTCTTGAAACAGAGTAAAAGCTTATAATGTCGAAGCTATTTTACTTCCACTACTCGTAATTTACGATGATTGAAGGTTATCAGCCTGTTTTGTTTTTTTTTTTTTTTTTTGTTTTTTTTTTGTTTTTTTTTTTTCCCCCTAATATAAAAAGAAATTAGGTATAAGAACAGTCAAATATATATTCTACCTTCTCTTCTTTGAGTAATCAAATATGACGTTATGCATCCTAAATTCCAAACTAGATACTTCTCTAAGAATGAATTTGCCTCTTTTTTCAATTCATTTATACGAATATTCAAAACTTTGAACTCAATTTTATAGCAGCCGATTGAATTTTTTTTGTTATTGTCATGGTTATGTGTTACCATTTTGACGGTCAAAGCTAAAGTCCCCTACTTTCGTGGAAGCACCATTTAGTAAGAAAGCTAACTATATAAACTAAGCATTTCTTGGCAAAATTAACAGCAAAATCACAACTAAACCTTCATATTATTCAGCATTTTAAGAGAGGATTTTAGTGTTAGGATCACAAAGTAGGAAACAAAATGAATGTTATGGGTCAACGTAGCCTTTTGATCATTTTGTTTGTGCTAGTGATAGCAATTTCGTGTCAGGTTCATGTTCAAGCGACTAGAATGCTACAAGAAGATTTTACAAATACGAGTAATAATTACCTTTCTAAGCATCCTTTGTCTGAATGGACAAAGAATAAAATGGCTTATTTGCTTGAATGTTTAGCATCAGGACCTAGTGACGGTGGTGGTGGCAATTAACTTCATCAAGCAAATTAAACACCATCTAAGAAGAGGAAATATGTGTATGGTAGTGCTTAAATTTGTATCAAATCAAGTTCATTTATTGATTTATTTTTTGATAGTTGTCATAATTTTTTTCAATTCAATAGTATTTGGAGCTGTACGTAGTTGTATGTTGTGTACTTGTGTTACCCATATTTGACATGATTAGATACATTTGTTTGTGTAGATATTGAGCTTGTATTCCTCTCTTTGATTCAATTGATCAAGGTGGTTCATTCTTTCATTTTGATATAAACAAGGCCATTAGTTAAACTTTGTCATGTTAAGGTATAATGATTTTTTAATGTGAAGATTATAATAATTTTTCTTCAATATAATTTTTACGTTCAAAAGAGTAACAATTAGAACGACTCTTAGTCTTAGAGTACTCTATTCTTACAAGTTACTCTGAAAGTCAAACCCTAACACAAGTAAAAATGAACTTTGCCTCTCAAGTTTCAACTTTCTTAAGTAAATTGATAGGTTTTGATTTCCAATTTATGAGCTGTCAAAAAAAAAATATTGGCCTCTCAACTTTTTTATGGACATTCAATTGCGTAATTTTCAATGAAAATACAATTACAAATGTAAAATACGATTAATTGTGCATCATGCATGTTCCAAATAACTTAATTCCTTTGAAACTTTAATACTACAAAAAGTAATGAAAATATAATAGGACGACAAAGAGATGAGTACTTCAATAACTCATATTGATTTTATATAAATTGGCCTGAAGCTTAAACAAAAATTTATAGTTATAATATACGGAGTATTTTCTTTGTTATTTTCCTTGCAACACAGTCTTTAGGCATGCGGTTGTAGGAGGTGATTAGTGAAGGTAAACAAACGAGTCAAAATAATTTTAACACTGAAATTTGAAAGGGTTAGGTACCACGTGTAATAATTATTTTGATTAATTTGTCCGTTTTCTTGTGATATAATATTATTGTGAAAAGATATACATCATATATTGTGATAGATTTAGGAGAATTAATATATTTAGAAATATTAGGGTTAGTTTGTACTCCAACTCGAACCTGAGCTGACCCGAACACAAACCGAACAACTAGATTACCACCACCGTACTGCAATATGAGCATCTTATCCTACTTGTACACCAAGCAATGTTAACAGTAACAGATGGCAAGCTCACAATCAAGTTCCAAATCTGCTTACAACAATGCACAACCGCTTTTATATTACACCTTTTTAATTAATTTGCAAGCAATAATTCTAGAGCAAAAGAATCGAAGAGTTTACATTCACAAATTAAAGCTGAAAAATGACAGAGCATCATAACCCCAAAACCCAACACGAAGACCCGAAACACTCAAATTCGGGTCAAAAGACCCATTACCCGAACCCACGAGAGTCAGTGAACCCGGATGCTGCAACATTGAAGGATCAATGGAAGTTTTCTGTAAAGAGGTACATAAGGTGGTCTTCTCTTGCTTGGAGCTCCGTTTTTGTTGCGGGTGGGGCCTGTTTTGCTTTGGGTTGGATCATCAAGGGTGCTAACCCTCTTCAATCTAAACCTTCTGATCATCCAAAATCTGTGGCTTCTTCTACTTCTGCTCAAAATCAACAACAAAATTGATTTTCTTGGGTTTGCACTTTTTTAGTTTCTGATATTAAGATAAATTCTCAATTGAGTTTTGTACTCCAACTTTTTTTTTTTTTTTTAATTTTTTTTTTTAGGAAAAATGGGTATTGAATGTTGTGTATGTCACTAGAAAGTTTTATCTTGATTATTC